TGCTTGCAGAGGTGGGGGGGCGGCTGTGGCAGAGGCAGAGGCCGCTCATGCCCCCGGCAGCAGCCTCTTCATTTTTAGCGTTTGCTGCCTCTGACGAGCTCGGAGGTTCGCCACATTGGATGGAGAAGGAGAAAGAGGTGGGAGCGGATCAGCCCCGGCGCTTTGGTGCAGGCAATGTTTGAATGCGTAAAATCTTACTTTCCAAGTGTTGGCTCTTTGTGCTGGTCTTGAGCTTCTGTTTTGGTCCTTACCAACGACAGCGTTGGTGTCGGTGTTCTCCCCGTCTCCTGTTCCCCTGACTTTGCAACCACCAGTAACTGTTTGGCAAGGTCCTGGAAAAAGAGGCAAATTTACTGTTTTCCTCAGGCTCATAGCTTTTGAACTGGAGGCATGTCTTCTAAACAGTGCAACTCACTTCAGATGCTTTTTGCCTTTCATTTGATTATTGCTTGTCACGCAATGTTCTTTGAAAGCTTGCTCATATATTATCTGTTCCATTTTTTCCATTTTCCCTTTTTTTGCATGCTGTTCCTCCTGTTTCTTCCCTTCCTCCAATCCTCTGTTCCCGTGTGTAGACACAACGGCGACGACAGAACCGGCAGTTCACGGTTGGTATCACATTCCTGTTTTTCTTATTTCTCAGCTCTGCTGAGGGGCAAGACAAGCCTGGGAAGGGGCGCGAAAGGGGGAAACGGAGTCTTCAAGGGAAAACCAGGTTTCAGGCGGACTGGTCTTGTAACGTAACATGGGTTGTAAGGCTGGAAAGTCTGTCCGGGCTGGTCATTTCTGTTGGGAGCTTCGCTCTGTTGTCCCAGAGCAAACGGCTTCTGTGCAGGAGCGGTGCTGAGACAGCAAGAGCCGTTCCCCACTCCTCTTGATTACCGGGGTAATGGCTTCACACGTGAAAAAGAAACTTGGCTTTGGAAAATAGGAGCTCGAATTTAATTTTTTAAGAGGTGCTTGAAGGCTGGAGCGCTTTTCCTTCCTGTGGAGGAAGGGGTCTGCGGAGCCGGGCAGCGTTGGCACGCTGGGGATGCTCCACAGGGGTCAGCAGGGAAGTTTGCATCATTGCACCGCAGAAGGAGATTTGGAAAACAAATAGCAACACTTTGCTATCGGCATAGCAGTCTAGCAAAGTAACCCTGCTCATCTGCTCCAGGCAGTCTCGCTAACAGCTTGACAGCTTCCTGCGCTTCCTACATTTCTCGGGCGAGCCCAAATAGTCGCTGCAGACTGGAAGCTGAGCATGCCGCTTTTTGGCACAAGCTCCCTTTTCAGCTACAGACCCGAAACCTCTGACAGTTTCGTTAAAGCTAATCCGTATTTGAGTGTGCTATTTTAGTTTCTTTTAACTCTGATGAATCGACCGGGTTTTTTTATTGGCAGAAATCCGTAATGCAGAGCCCTTTGCCCTGCCTGCTCCCAGCAAGGCGCATCCTGGGCAGCGAGGAGGAGGACGGAGCACGGTCGGGGTTAGGGAGCCATGCCCCATGCCAAGTGCGGGGACGTGCAGTCCCTGTCCCAAATAACTCATCTGCTCGGGCGCAGCTTCTTGCTTGGCATAAAGATGAGAAGCCTTCGGGCATGCTGCTGTTTTCTGTTCATCGCCCAGCTCCCGGTGTATTTTTAATGATCCAACACGGGCAGTTTTGTAGCGGCCATAATGAAGTCACAGCAGGGCACTGCAAGCCCAGGCGATGCCTCGTCCCACACCGCGCTGCCGCCGGTGAAAGTCAGAGGAGGGCAAAACGTTAACGCCATTAATGTGTGGTGGCACGGATTGATTACCAGGAGGGTCCAGGGGCTCCTCTGAAGTGCTTGGCTTCCTTAGCACGTTTGTAACTCAAAGAGCTGAATATCCACACCCCCGTGGGGTAGCGCTGCTCACAGCCGAAATGACAACCAGCACCAGCCGAAGAGCTGCCACAAACGCTGACTTTCCTGCCTTAAACCCCGTGGGGTAGGGACCCCGCGCTCGCCTTGGGGCTGCTTTTCCCGTGGAGACTCCGGGCTGCCTTCCCGGGCGGGTGTTGCCGGGTGTGTATGAGTACACCGGGTGTTTCTGTGTGTTGGCCATTTGTTCTGACCGGTGTCCGGTGGGCGTGAGCATGTCTGTGAATGACGAGAAATGCATGGGCATGAACTACAGCCAAATGGATTTCCTCCAAAAACGATTTTAAACGAATTGGGGGGAGAAAAAATACAACCAAAAAAAACCAACCTAAACTGAAAAAGAAGCCAAAAAAGAGATTGATAGCAAAGAAAACGAAACGTAAGGCTAGTGTGGAACCAGCACAATGCTTCAATCTGGGAAAGGACTTTTGAGTCACGGCATTTTTTGGAGTGTATCCTAGAGGACTGGGGGGGAAGGAGTCCTGTGTGTGTGTGCATGTCAAAGCGGTAGCAAAGCCCCTGCCATTCCCGTTTCCTTCTGGAATGGAGTTGACGGCAGCGATGCATGAGTGACTGAAAGCACGAACATTGTTAACCCTTTTGTTGAAAAAAAAAGAAAATTGCTGAGAGCTTAACTGTAAATTTTCTGATGCACTTTCTCCTTTCTCTGCACTGTTCATTGCCAGCACTCCAATAACAGCATGGCCATGGCCATGGGGGGCAGCGAGGCCTGTGCTCCTGCGGCCCTGCCAGGTCGGGCCCGCCCTGTGCGGCCTCCGCCTTCCGAGTCCCAGTGCCAGTGAAACCCCACGGCCCTGCCTCCACAGGGGGAAATCAAGGCAGAGCCGGGAGAGTAACATCTCCGAGCGGCTGGCGCCGCCCCGGGCGGCCTCCCCCCGCCAAATCCACACAGAAAGCGCTTTTTCCACTGTGCCCTTTCCCTCCCGCCCCTCTCCCCTCAGAACCAAGGGGTGAGGTTTTGACGCTCGGCTACCGTCACTCCCCAGGGAGCTGGGCCTTTGCGGGGCCGCGGCCCTCATGGGGCCCAGGTGCCCAGCTCTGTGCGAGCAGGACACGTACACGCAGCCATGTCCATATACACCGTGCTCTTTCGCTACAGCGACAGCAATTCGGCCGCTTTTTCCCAAATTCTGACCCTGCCCTGCTGTAAGCAAAGAGTTTAAAGAGCTCCGCAGTGACTTTTGGAGCCCGCGGGCTGTGCCCGTTGCCATAGGTGACATGGGCCACCCTGTACGTATGTCCATGTGCTGGGAGCTGCCTTCCCCCCTGCCCCGGGCAGGAACAAGGCGCTGCCACCCCAGCACGGACGCGATTTCTGCTCATTCTCAGGAAAAGGTAGGGCAAAAAAAAGTCTCTTCTGAAGCTGGCAAAGCAGGAAGCCTGGAGAGGAGGTTAAAGTAAGGAAAACGTCCCCATCGCCAGTGAAGAGGGACAAGGAATACCTGCCCGTAATACAGCAGGTAAATTATTTTATAAGCTGGAAATTCTTCCCCAAAGGCCCACGCGAGTTTTTAATTAGGGCCTTCGCAGGGTTTTGCAGAGGAATGTTTGGCACCGCTGCGTTAAGCTCTTGTTGTTTTTTCCGATAGCGCTGAGGCTCTGTAAGTGAGTTCCACTTGTGTGCAGCCAACAGCCCGGCCGTGCCAGAGCAGACCGCGCCAAATGCATCGGCACGCGAGGAAAAAGCTGCGGCGCTTTCCGCGTTATCGAGCGGCTCTGCCTGCCCAGCTGCCCTTTTTCCTTTTGAAAATGCCCTACTTGAAAGCGCAACCATCAGTAAACACATCCCTAAATATCCCTTACAGAGCCCAGCCTGGGGGCGGTTGAATTAAACATCACAGAGCTCTGCACGCGTTTGGTTCCGTGCAGCGCCCTGGTGTGTACAGAGCCCCTAAGTGGGTATTTACCGCTCCCTGCAAAGAGAAACCGCCTTTTCCTGAAAAACAGGAGGGGGCACGCTGCTGTCGGCAGAAATCCGGCCGAAACCCGGCAGTACCCGGCGTGGTGGTGGTGGTGGTCATGAAACACCCGGCCAAAGAGTTGGCTTTCACCGATGCCGCAGACACTGAGCTCCTCCTGATCTGAAGGGAGGAGAAGGGGCTTTAATAGCCGCAATGAAAGTTTAATGAGAGAAATCAAGAGGTAATTTACCGCCTATTTAAAATGCCCCGCAATATGTTGTAGCACTGTTTGGTGGCATTTTTAAGTATACCAGGTGCAGGTAGAACCAGAGTTGTTGGATTGTTAAATTTGCTTTTGAAACACATTTCTTTTTTTTGCTTCATAAAAGATGCAACGTGTCCCTTTTTCATTATTGAGAAAATGTGGCTCCTTTTTAAGGGAGAGGGAGGACTCTGCAGAAGCAGTTTTGGAGAGAGAGAAGTTGAATGGCTCCTCTTCCAAGCCAGGTTTGCCCGTGCGGTGCTTCTGAGTCAACTGCAGTTACCTCTCTGTAGAGCAGCGCAGTAAAACGGGGGCTCCCTGGGATCCAGGGGTGTTCGCAATCCAAATTCTGGCCGATAATCTAAGCGACGTCCCCCTTTAGCAGAGAGTCCCGCCTGCAGCTTCCGGGTGACCTGACGTATTTAAAACAGTCACTGCAAATGAGCATTAGCGTTAACGAGCTATGCATCCGTGTGTCGCTTGCTGCTTTCCAGTGGGGGACAGCGGCTGCGCTGCGTTAATGTCCTTGCTGTTTAAGGAAAGTCAGCCAGGTTTCCCAGTGACAGCGGTGTCTCTGCACAGGGAAAACTGCTTTTTGCTTCAATAATACATTTGCTTTCACAGCAAGAGCAAGTTACCGCAGTTCATTAATACATAACGCAGTGCTGTCACCATTTAAACAGAGCTCTGTGACCCCCCAGGCGTGGGTTTCCCTGTACCCAGGCACTCGCTCTCTCTGTCCTCCTGTGCACCCCAACATCTCAAAGGAAACGGGGAATAACGGCTGTTCAGACAGCGGGTGTCTCGCCTGACTGCTTTATCAGCTTTGAGGATAGATACTTTTTCCATCGCTGCAGCACATTTGGAAACATTTATTTTAAGGGTTTTGGCAGATATTTTTTTTAAGGGTTTTGGCAGATGTTTTTGCAGAAGACGCAGCCCGCAGTCTGCCCCACGGTTTGGAAATGCAAAACTTCACTGCTTGACAAATTGCCAGGCTTGCCAACATCACCCAAAAAAAGAAAGAGATTGAACTTTGCGGAAAATTGGAAGTAATTTTTACATTGCTCTGTGTACAGAGAACCAAAATCAAACTGGAAACCAAATTGGGAACTTGGCCCCCGCAGTGCCCAAAAGCCGGAGTTCGGGGGTCTTTGCATGCTGTTATGAGTGAGTGACTTTGATTCCATGTTTCATGTGCCAACAGTGTAGACCGAGGAAAGTTTCTGTCCATAACGAAGGAAATGATGGCAGTTCTGTCATACGAGTTGCTCTGCCCACCCGGCAGACAATTGACGCATTATTCCCCCCCCCAAGAAATTCCCCCTCACTTCTTAAGTGTGTTGTTTTTCTGTCGCTGGAGAACCGCAGAGAAAATATGCGTTTGTTTTTACTTGTAAGGCTTTACTCAGTTGCCCAATTCGGCCGAGGAGCTGGACTATGGGGACCCCGCAGGTAAGGGTAGTCCGTAGGTACCCGCTGCTCCCCTCCGCTCGCCCCGGCCCCGCGCTGGTCTCTGCATCCTGGCCATGTCGCATCGTACGCTCGCTGTGCTGTCGCCATCCCGCCACCGCCGGGCTCGCCGCTTGGGTGTGCGCTCTGTTCTCTTGGGTCCCCCCTCTTCTTTTGATCTCGGCACCCATTTCTGTGTGGCACCCTTGAAATGGGGGTGGGGGGCGCAGGGCGGCGAGCCTTCCCGTTCCGGGGTGCCTCGCAGCTGCTGTGCCATCATTTGTGGGGTGTTCATTTGGAGATGGGTTGAGTTGAAGCTGTGTAACACGCTCGGCTCTGCCGCATTGTGTGGCACCATCCCTACAACGCAGCCAGCGCCAAGCCGGGGCTGCTGGGCGATTTATCTTAATACAGGAGTCAGATTGGGGGTAAAAAGGAGGCGATTGCTTTATCAGCCAAGGCAAAACCACGTAAATGTGTGAACCTCTTTTCACCCACGCTGGACTGGAAGTGGCCTAAATCCACCCCCATAGCTGGTCAGTGTGAAGGAGCACTGATCCGGATCAAGGAACAAAAGCATCTGCAGCGGGTGCAGTTGGGGTGTGCGAACAGGGGTCACAGCAGGGGTACAAGCATAGCCTGAACCTCGGACCTTCACATTTTGGCAGGGTCTTCCTAAGCGTTTTCAGCAGTTCACCCTGGTTTTAGCTCCTTGGAGCATCTCCGCACTCATTTTCCCTGGGGACGGGCAGCGCAGCGGGGATGGGGCTTGGCCACGGGGCAGGACCACAGCCCCCCGGGGTTTGGATACAGAGCAAAACCTGACGCCAAAAAAGCAAAGCCCCGGGTCCTCAACCAGTGCAATGCTTTCCTTTTCGGCAGCACCTGCTATGAGCCACTGCAGGGACGCTTTGGCCAAGAAAGGGGTCAGAAATGGTTGATTAATTCCCTGTGTATGCTAACACCTGAGCGAGAATTGTTATTGCAGGCGTGGGCCAGACTTGGTAAGAAGCAGCAGGTGTCTGTTAACATCACCATGTGGACACAGAATAATTGTTTTGCTCTGATAAGCTGTATTATTTTTAAAATATTTGCATTTTTTTAAAGAAGAGTACCCCTTTTGGTGGCTGAAGAGAAGGACAGGGAACAAGTCCACGGAGGGATTGCTCAGAGTGGGTGCTGTGCTGCATGGCTGGCCCCTTTTCCCGATCACGTAGCTCACATTTCCCTTTTCTGAATCTTTAATGTAAGTCAGAATTGCCCCCAAACTCCCCAGAAGGCAGTGCAAGTTGGAGCATCCGCTTTGACCTCTGGTGGTTCGTTCTTGTTTTCCCTAAGAATTTCAAAGTTGTTGCTCTCTGGGTTCCTCCTGCCCGCCCCTGGGTGACCCTGCCAAGCCCAATCTGCCAGGGTCACCAGAGAGAGTCCTGTTCTCTGCCAGGACCCTGGGCATCCTGCTGGGACACCCAAAAAGGGCCTGTTGCCACATGGGGTCAGCCCCTGGGGCTGTGACGGGTGCTCCAGGTGGGTGCTGGAGCCGGGCTCCATCGGTGCCGGTGGTGTGGGGCTTTGCTGAGTGTGCTGTTCTTCCAGGTGCTCCCGTCCCGCCCAGCGCCGCGCCGGAGCCGCTGCCAACCCAGCAACTCAGTAACGCGTCCCTTGTCCCCCCGACAGGTAGCGAGCGAGCTGTGAGCGGCACCGCTCCCCCTCGGGCTGTGTGTGTCCCTGCGTCCTCACCCACAGAGCCAGGGGGTGGAGAGGGCACAGGAAGGGGATGGAGATGGTTTGGGAAGGGTAGAAAACCTCCACCCCTGCAGCACAGGGTTTCTTTTTCCACTGCACAGCCTCACAGGTGGGATTGCTGCAGCGCTGGGGATCCCTGAGGCAAACCGCCCCATGTTTGCATGCAAACACATGCAAACACACGTGTATGTGTGTGTCTATATATATAAAACATATATATACATATAGATGTGTATGTATACGTGTACACGTGGTCTTTCTGCTTGGCTGGAGAGGGTTGTGCACCTCTTGTAAAACGGCGCCGGTGCAGCCGCACACGGGGTTTGATGAACTAATCACAGCCTGATTAGCAGCGCTGTTCGGGGGGGCCGCTGATGAATCAATGGCCATTGATTGGGAGCGGGGCTCCGTTTTCGAGCAGAGAGGAGGCTGCAGGAACAGCCCAGAAACATCGAGCTGCTGCCATAGCGAGTGAATTTATTAAAACAAAGCGCATTATTTTCTATGAAATGGGTCACTGACGGGGAGCTTATTGATTGAGGAAGGATGAACTCCAATTTCTCTGGCTTAAATTAGGCCAAATTCAATTACAATACAACAAGCAGGTTAACGCTGCTCTTTTAAGAGGCCATCAATAGATTAAAGTAGGGGTAGCACGCTTAATGCTGCGCTATAGGGAGGGATAACGTTACGGCTCATCCTGTCCTGTGCAGGCAGCGATTGATAAAACAAGCTCTACTGATGAAGACCCCGAAGTTAGGAATTCTTCATGGAAATGGGTTTGGGGTTTCTCTTCCCTCCCGTGATGGAGATGCGACGCAGCCTGTGTTGTCCTGCATCTGTGGCCTGAAATAGATTTTCCTCAGAAGCAGGAGATAAATTTTAGTGGGAGTGCAGCAATAAATCCAGATACGCCAAAGTTAACGACTACACCACGCTTTCACGAAAGTCTCCGTCAGTTTTGTGCTTTTACAGCACAAATATGCACAGAACGAGTTCAGGGCTGCTCGGAGATGGCCCAAAAATGTCACAAAACATTGGCCTACAAAATGTAAAGCGGGAAGGAAGGTGCGGGGCTGGGACTGCAGACGTTAGCCCAAAACACGTGGTTTTCCGAGTGAAAATGGGCAAGGGCCGGGTGCCCAGCTCAGCCCCACATCCATGGGTGTAATTGAAATTAAAATACCGGCTGGTTACGGCAGCCGGGTCCAGGTGAGTCTTCCTCTTGTCTTGAGATGCTGCCCCTTAGAGAAGAGTAGGAGCTAGAATCTACATAGATATAGATATATAGATATATATTTTAAAGCCTCATTAGAAACTGAATGAAGTGGAGCCTTTTTATTGAGTAGCTGGGAGGAGAGCAAGTCTTTCCCATGCCAAACCCTGCTGGAAGCGCTTGACCCACATTGTTAGGACACTGCTATGAAAATCTGCCAGCTTTTTTTCCACACCAAAAGTCTATTTTTAAACAATTAGATCTGCAAAACTGCTGGAAAGCTTGAGATCATTAATGCCCTTATTTTTAAATAGTGTCTCCCCTGCAAAAGAACCCTGACCAAGAGCCTGCAGGTTCAGAACGCGGATGTTGGTTGACATTACTCAAGGGCAGTAATCAGCTGAACATCTGATGTGTGACGATAGTGTGGTGGTAGTGGGTGACAAGTAGGAACTGGTCTAAAACGTGTCATCTTCTGTCTGTAGTTTTACAAATTACTGTGTTTAAAGGAAAACTTCAGGGTTCTCGTTTGAGTGATACGCTCTTTGTTGATTACATGAGCAGTTGGTTAAAATAGTACGCAAAAACCCATTTAAGCTCCCAAAGTCTGTTCTGGGCCGCAGCTGGAAATGGGCTGCGGGTGCTCCCCGCTGCTGCCTGCAGCGCTGCATCCGTGCTCTCGGGGTGCAGCACGGCACTTGGGAAAAGTAACCAGGTTTTTCTGCGTATACGCAGGTTTTGCGAGTGGACTGTACCACTGCCGCTGCGGTTTTCCTTTAAGGTGCTTTGGCATGGGGCAAAGCACCCAAACCCCGGCGCTGGGTCCGGCCCAGCAGCCCCATCCGTGCGCATGTTGTTCACAACATGCAGTGCTCCCCTCCCTCCTCCCCTCCCGCCCCAAAAACCACGGACCAGAACCAAAACCAGAGCAGAAGAATTCTGAGGATCGGCTTTCGAGGCCAGCGAGCTGCAATATATATTAACATCCTAATGGGAAAGCTGGGCGTGTATACATTTACTGCTCTCTGACAAGAGGGAATTAAATGTCAGAAGGATTTGTAGCATCTATAATTGAATTGGTGCTGAGAAAAGCAAATCTTGAGGAAGAATAACATATTAGGATTAGCAAATAATGTGGCATTTTGTCAGTTCCTGCCATCTCGTCTGTTCCCTCTTCAGTAATAAAGTTGTGATTTCTGTTTTAATCATAGATATGAAGCGGGAATGGCTGTTGTGGATTGAGACAGCGTTTTCAAGCAGATCCTAGTCTTTAAGGTCAAGTCTCTCTCTCTGCACAAATTTGAGGAAATATTCCCTTGCTCTGTAGACCAGACAGGGATTTTTAATTGCCAGAGAAATAATGAGTGACAGAAAAGGGAAGAGCCGCCCTGGTGCAGGTGGTGAACACTTTGAGTTGTAGAGTTGAGCTGGTGGTGAACACGTTGAGTTGTCACCGAGTTGAGCTGGTGGTGAACACGTTGAGTTGTCACCGAGTTGTGCTGGTGGTGAACACGTTGAGTTGTTGTAGAGTTGTGCTGGTGGTGAACACGTTGAGTTGTCACCGAGTTGTGCTGGTGGTGAACACGTTGAGTTGCTGAGGAGTTGCGTTAGCAGATGAGGAGGTGCCAAGGCAGGAGGAGAGGACAGAGGAGCGATGTCCAGCAATGGATCCCTCAGGGGAGGATGTTATTTATGGTTCACCACCACTACACATCCTCAGGAGTTACTTAATTTAACTTAGTACATAAGCTTGAAGATGAACTGTTTAGCCACATGTGTAATAAAATAAACGTGTGGCTGGCACATGGCAGAGGGCTTTTTTAAGAGGAATAATTAAGAAATACGGCCCCGCGTGTCCCGGTGGACAAAGTTGTGGTTAATAAATGCTGTGGCCGGAAGGGTTTGCCACCCTCTGTGCACAGGCCCCTTCTCAGGAAGCGCTGTCAGAGCTCAAAGCCACCGAGCCAGGGCTCCTGCCCCTGGAAGCTCCTTGAAGAAACACTCAGAGGGTTTTTTTTTCTCCAATTGTTTTAATTAAGGTGCGCTTTATAGCGCTCTGAGTCACGAGTTATTTACCTGGGTCCCTCGGTCCTTCATCTGGGAGCAGAATTGGAAATATCGATGGAAAGCGCAAGCCCCAGCTGCTGCTCGCTGGCTTCGTATCGGGTCTCGGCTCGGAGGAGCGCCATTACCTTTGGCTGTCACGGATCTGTACGCTTGATCGATAAACTTCAAATATTATTAGAGGTGGAGGCTTCAGAGATTTGCTCTGTTCTTCGGAGGGAGACGGAGATAAATCTTTCTTAAAAATTGACTTGCATTTGCACTCTGGGTCTCCCGGTAAAGCGCATTTCTCCGAGGTGTCTGGGCAGCTGCACGCAGGACAGATTTATAGGCCGTGTGCTTCTTGTAGTGAAAGATTTAAATGGTAAATCCTTCACATATGACTTCACAAATCATGTAAAGCTAAAAGATTTTTACCGTTTCTGTTGCTGCTGTGCTTAAATTGTAAGGTATGGCCAGTAAATCATTTTAATGGAGGTGTCGCGCTTGACTCAATAAAAAAAAGAGACAATGGTTTAGCTTCTATTCCAAAATGTTAATGTATTAATCAACGGGAGAATAATTGTTTTTTACCGTGTTATAAATCTCGGTTGCCATTAGGACTGCAGTGAGGGTTGATGTAGCTGCGTTCTTAAATTAAAATTGTTTACACTGCTATACATTCATTTTACACGGCCATAGCTCACTCTGGGTTCATTTCGGAGCCGTTCCTCCGCCAAACAAGTCATTCCTCTCCCGGCTGACGGCGTCCTAAGGGAGAGGCGCTTATAAAGGAAAATTAATTGCATGGTGCGGAGTTAAATAAATGAAATAAAGCAGTTGGAGGCAATGTACAATTATTGCTCGCTATCTGCTTCTGAAGAGCTTTTCACGGTTTGGGTGAGGAGGCTTTGGGCCCCTGGGCTCTGCGTTGAGCAGCAGGGGCGGTATTTGACGGTGGCACCCGGAGCCCTCGGGGACGGGGTCAGCGCATTTGCCGTGCCGGGCTGGTCGTCCTGTGCTCCTGGGGCTTTCTGGGCTGGGGTAGAAAGGCTTTCACCAGAACGCTCGTTGATGGTGTTTCTCCAGAGCTAACGACTCCTATTTCCATACTGTCCTGCTGCTCCCTGTGCCCCCATCCGCAGGGAGGCTGGAATTCGGGGAGCGTTCTAGGGAAGCCTCCCGAAACACGTTCCCCCCTCCGGCTCCATCTCTCCTCCCCAGCTGCCCTCCTCGTGCGTAGTCGTAGAGCTGCTGCTTGTAGGAGATCAGTTCGGACGCGGCTCCTCGGCCCGAACTCATCTGTCTCTAGAGATAGCTCCGCGTTCGCCCTCAGGAGAGGGCACCAGGGGGGCTCCGGCGCCGAGCGCGGCTCAGACCCTTTCGGAGCGCGTGGGCGCAGGTCCCGAATTCTCACTCCTCTTCTGGTCTCAACAGATTCTCGCGCAGGTGAGGAAGGGGCGATCCGCAGCGTGGACCACGCCGTGGTCGGCGGCGTCGTGGCCGTGGTCGTGTTCGCGATGCTTTGCCTGCTCATCATTTTAGGGCGATATTTTGCCAGACATAAAGGTAAGACTCTAAAGATCGGCACTGGGATACGAGCGTCCCCTCGCTCATGACGTTGTCCCATCTGGTGCGAGGGACCCCTCTGTTAAAACCCTGCAGATTTGGAGGTCCCTCCACAAAACCCGGTTGCCCCGGGCTGATGCACGTGTGCCATGCTGCCTTGGGTTTGTGGTTTGTGTGCAGAACGGCCCTTTTTGGGGATTTTTTGCCACTCCCAGAGCACATCCAGGCCCACAGACAATTCTGCCTGCGCCTCTGTGTACATGTTTGTACAGAAGGATTTAACGGTAACTGGGTTTTATTTGGGAGCGCTGACGGAGGCTGGTTACGACCGCAGCCAGGATGGAGTGAATAATGTTGAGGAGAGAGGAGAAAGGGGAGAACAAAACCCCTAAGGCACATTAAGGGAGAGAGAAAGCGGAGATGGAAGATTTGTCTCCCTTAAGTAAAGTGTACAAAAGGCAATTTACTGATACTCGTGTGCTTCTGAGAGGGGGAAATGGCTCTGACCTAATTTCTTTTCCGAGTAAGACGGTACAGAGAGCCATGCAGGGATGCTGATGCCCTGTGCATGGTCAGCCCTGGGGGTCTCTGCTGCTGGGGTGGGAGCAGGAGCTCCCGCACCGGCCTGGCTTGGTGCTGGTGTTATTTTCCACGCCCCAGCCTGGGATTTTCACATTTTCCATCTTTTTTTCCCCTTTCTGCTCGCGGCTTCGTCGCTCGCGCTCGGCAGAGCCCTCGGTCGGGTCACGCAGCCTCCCCCTTGCCTTGCAGGTACGTACTTCACCCACGAAGCCAAAGGAGCGGACGACGCGGCCGACGCGGACACAGCCATCATCAACGCCGAGGGCGGGCAGAACAACTCGGAGGAGAAGAAGGAGTACTTCATCTAGAGCAGCCTTGGTTCCCATGAGGTGTCCAACCGTGGACGGTTACTACTGGCCCTATTTAAACGCTACAGAGACAGCGATATCGGAAGTTGCAACCAGCTTGTGTCTTTTTTTTTAAAGAAAACAAAACAAAACAAAAAGCAAATGGGTGGAGAGTCGTTGAGGCTGGGAGGGTCCGGGATTTGCTGTGTAAAAATATTCCTCGTAAAGTACACTCTGCTGTTCGACACCTCAGTTTGTTTGGGTTTTCTTTTTTTGGCCAAGTCCAGCTTGGATTTAGTTTAGTGAAGTCATTTGCAGAAGATTCTGTGCCTTGTTTAATTTCTGTTCGTCGGGGCGGGGGGAGGCTGGGAAGAAGAGGGGCTTTGTGCGTTAGTTCCCTTCGGGTTTCGTGGCTCCTGGGTTCCCCCTCCCCTGCTGTCCCCGGGACCCCTGCCAGGGGTGGCTTTCGCTGGAGATGTTCCTCTTTCCGTCCCTCTTCCCTGGTTTCCGTGCCGCACGCGAGCTCATCGGAGGAGAACCAGCACATCCGTACCCCGTAGTTTGCCGTTCAGTGTGCCCATCTCCCATCCCCTCCGTCGGCGTCGAGGCTTGGAGACAGCGAGCGGCGAGCCCCCCTCTCGCGGGTGCTGTCGGTGCGGGAAGAGGCTGGAGCTCGGCAAAGAGCGGGGAGCAGGGCCCCGGGGTGCGTCCCCCAAAGAGGGGAGCCAGCATCGCCTCCAGCTCCGCAGCCATCAGGTCTACCCCAGGGTGAGCCCCGGGGAGCGGCCGGACGAGCAAACCTTGCCTTGTTTCTACCCGCTGAGGAAACCGGGGGCATTCGCGTCACGCTGACAGCGCTAACCGATTACAAAGCCATAGGTGAAAAGGAGAACCTAGGGAGAGCCGTGAGCGGCAGGTGGCAGACCGCAGGGAGAGCACGGTGTTGGCGTTCTAGATGCTGAATTTTTTTTGGTGAGTAATCTTGGGTTTGGAGCGGTTCTTTTTTCTTTCTTTTTCTGTGTTTCTGTGGAACGTGTACGCCGAGTTATTTAAGGGAAGCATTAATCTTAGGGTCAGTTGGGGTTTTTTTCGGGGTTTCGAGGGAAGTTCTGTTGCGTTGACCCGTTGTTTTAGCAGCAGCATCGCAGTGCGGGATGGCCCAGGCGGCAGCGAGCGAGCCCATTCTCCGGCAGGTTCCTGCCGTTCCCCTTTTCACGAGACG